CACCGGTTTTTTTTTTTTTTTATCAGTTTGGTTTGGTTTTTTCTTTTATTGACGTTTATTATGAATTTACGGAAAAGCGAACGAACGTCGAAAAGTTATCCGAACGTACGAAAAAAACTATTGAGAGAAAATATAAAAAAAAAAAAAAAAAGGCAAAGGAAAACCTTTTTTTTTTTTAAACATTATCATTATTCAACTTTCGTTTTTTGATTCTTATTCCTTTTTGTTTTCCCCCTTCCCTCTTCCTCTCCCTTTTCTGCCGGCCCCCCGTTTTTTTTATGTATTACGTATTCTACGTCATTAATTTGACTTTTAAGAATTTTTATTACGTAAGGTTTGTTATTTTTAGATTAAAGTGACATTGAAAAAAATCTCTCTCTCCCTCTCTCTTCCCCCCCTCCCCCTCTCTTTCTTTCTAGGTTTCTCGTTTAAACGTCATTATAAAAATGGACCTTTATTTCTTTTCGATTTTTAGATCAATAATAATAATAATAATATTTACTTTGTGATCATTATTTTCTCATTTCGTATTTGATTGAGTTTTTCTCTTTTTCCCTTTTCTTTTCTTTTTTTTTTATAATATTTTCTATCACTTTTCCTTTCTCTCTCTCTCTCTCTCTCTCTCTCTCTCTCTTTTTCTCGCTTATCTGCACATTATCAAAGGATTACGTATTTTTATCACGTGTGTCATCCGTCATTTTAACGCTTTTATTTTTTATTTTTTCTTTCTCGATTTCTTTTCTATTTTTTTTTTTAATTAATAAAAGAAAAAAAAACAAGAAAAAGGTTTCGATGAGGATTTTAATTATATCGATCATTTAAAGACAAAGAACCGATATTTATTATTATTATTATTATTAAAGGGAAAAAAAAGGAAAGAAAGAAAGAAGAGATTTTTATTCGCGTAAAAAAAAGAGAAAGAGAGAGGGAAAAAAAAGGAAAAATAAGAAAAGGAAAAAAAAAAAATGAAGTCATAAATAAACTTCAAGTGTATGAGAGAAAGAGAGAGATAAAGATAAAAAAAAGAGAAATTGAAACAATAAAGAGTGAGAGAGAAAAAGAAAAAGGAAAAATAAAAGAAAAGGATTACGTAACGAGAAAAGTCTGGAGGGTTTTTTTTTTTTTTTTTTTTTTTTGATGTTATTTATTTGCGGTTATTACTTAATGAGAATAATAAATCATTTAATTTATCTTCCAGCCTTAACTGCTTCTCCAGTTTCTAAACTAAACTAAAAAAAAAAAAAAAAAAAAAAGAAAATTTCAAATGACTTCAAATCAAAATTTCTTTTCTAAATACACGAAAAAAATTTTTTTTTTTTACGAATGAAGGAAAAAAAAAACAAAACAAAAACAAACAATATCCGTTTCGTATGACAATTTCCAAAAAAAAGGTTCAATGTCGTGAAAAAAAATCAAAATTTTGGAGAAATGTAAAATGAAACATCATTATTATTATTATCACTTATGCGTGTGCGTGTGAGTGTAGGCGTGCGTGTTAATCATTAAAGGAAGAAATAAGAGGAAGGAGGAAAAGAAGACAAAAAGAATAGAAAATTTTACCTTTCAGTCGACTTTTCCGGAATCTCCTAATATAATTATCATTATTATCATCATCATCATCATCATCATTAACACGTGTGCGTGATAAACTTAAAGGGAATAAAAAACAGGAAGTCAAAGGAGGAAAAGGAGGAAAAAAAAAGAAAATTTTACCTGTCTGTAGTTTTCCATAATCTCCTATTATCATCATCATCGTTATCATTATCATTATTATTATTATTATTCACGTTTAATTTCGTATTGAAAATTTATTATATCAATTTACCTTTAAAAAAAAATAATAATAATATTGATAATAATAATAATAATGAAAATTCGACGAAATTCTAAACCGACAAAAGAGTTAATTAATGTTTTTGTTTCTTGCGTGCGTTTCCGTCTGTGTGTCTGTGTGTTTGTTACTCTTTTGTTGTAACCGCCTCGAGGCTTTAAACGTCTTTCTCTCCCCCTCCTCTTTCCTCCCCTCCCATCCCTTCCACTCCCCTCATCGTCTTCTTTTGACGCTCTCGGTAATATGATGAAATTTTAATATATGTTATATCGATTGAGTAGGAAATGTTGAATTATCGCTTATACCCCCCCTCTCTCTCTCTCTCTCATCGGTTGGTTTTGTTTTTCATCCGTTAAACGCGTTCATCTTACCCCCCCCTTCTTTCCTCCCCCCGCTTTTTGCTGCCCTCTTTACCTCTTAAAAATAAAAAAGTTAAGGTTTCGTGAGGTGTTGTCGCAAGGACGTGAAAAGTGAAAGACGTGAAAGGAAAAAAAAAGGGACGGGGAAACCAAAAGAAAACGACGAGTTAATGATGAGTTTTTTTGTATTTTTCTAAAATAGAATTTTCCAGAAGAATTTTAAAACTAAAATAAAAAAAAAAACGACACGGATTTCGGATTTCGGATTTTTTTTGTTAAACATGGCGATTTGTTTTTTTTTTTTTTTTCTTACAAAATTTTCAAAATTTTTTTTTGGAAAAAGTAAAAAAAAAAAAAAACGAGATGAGAATAAAAAATATGCCGCCCGCCCCCGTCACCGTCACAGTTTTTTCCTCATCTTCTCCGAAAACTCCTTTTTCCAGAAAAAGAAAAAAAAAAAGAAAATTTCGAACGGGCTGTAATTTTCGTCTGCTTTTTTTTTTCTTTTTTTTTTAACTTTTTTTTCTTTTTCTTTTTTCTTTTTCTCCTTTTTCTTACCTGATAATTTAATTTTAACCTTTTTTTTCTTTCTTTAAAATAAAAAAAAAAAGAATAAAATTAAAAATAAAAAAAAAAATTGAATAAGAATAAAAAGAAAAGAAAAAAAAGAAAGAAAGAAAGACAAACGAAAATGGAAAAAAAAAAAGAAAAACTTTGTGGCGAGAAAAATAAAAAAAAATTTCAAAACGTTTCCTTTTTTTTTAAAAAAAAAAAAAAAAAAAAAAAAAGGATAAAAGGAAAAAAAAGGCGTGGGAGGAATGGAGGGAGAGAGAGGGGGAGGAGAGGGAGGAAAAGGGGAGGGAAGGGGAGAAAAAAATTTCCATTGGCTTTATTAGTTTTCATTGTCCTCTTTCATTTTACAAATCAAAAAACTTTTTTCAAGTTTTTCATCAATCGTTCGTTGTTTTTGAATTTATTAACAAAAAAAAAAATTTTAACGAATAATTTTTCGTTTCTAATTCCACGTCTGTTTTATCTCTTACCAGATTTTCCTAACCGCCCCCCCCTCTCTCTCTCTCTCACTCACTAAATCATTCCGGAATGTTTTTCGAAAAAAAAAAAAATTTTTTGATTTGCCTGGTTGTGTGTGATGATCGACTGACGATTTTTTTTTTTTAAACTTCTCCCCACTTTCCCTTCTCTTTCCCCTTCTATTTTCCCCCCCCAAAATAAAAATTTTATCGTTCGTAACCCGTGTCTGATAAGAAAAAAGACGGAAGAAGAAAGAAGGAGAAGAAAAAGAAGAAGAAAATGAATCGTGTTGTTAACAAAAACTGATTTGTTTCCATTGTTTTATTTTGTTTTTTTTTTTTTCTCCTCCTTCCCTTCCTCCCTTCCTCTTTCTTCCTCCTCCTCCTCCTCCTCTTTCCTATCATTCATTCATTCATTCATTTACTCACTCATTCATTCATACGAAATTCGATTAGAGAATTGAAGTTTTCGTTTTTTTTTTTTTAATTTAAAACAAAAGAATAAAATGCTGGAATATGAAAACTGGAGAAAAAAAAAGGAAGATGGGTAATGAAGGGAAAAAGTAATAATAATAATAATAATAATGGTGACGATGATGATGATGATGATGACGACGATGATAAAATTATTAAAATGAAAATATTTTGTTTTCTTTCTTTTCTTTTCGTTTTTTTCTCCAAATTCAATTACGTAGGAAAATTAATTAATCCACGATTGAAATGTTATTCTCCTTCTGGATAATTCTGGAGAAAGTTTAAAACATCGACGGCGACGACGAGGGGCTGTGAAGAGGCGGGGGGGAGGAATAAAAACAAAATCGAAAAGGGGAAAAAAAATGCGTAGTTTTCTCTTTTTTTCTCTCTCTCTTTCACTCTCCCTTTCCTTTCAACTTCTTCTCCATGTTTTCCGTCGTTCTCCAGTTTAATTTTTTTTTATTTTTCTTTTCCTTCATCATTGTCACGACTGGAATTTCACTTTAAGGTGAATTTTTTTTTTAAAAAAAAAAAAGAAACCTTTTGGGAAAACGTAAATGAATTTTTGTTTTTTTGACTTTTCGTATTTAAAAACGTCGTAAGTGACGTAAGACCGACCTAAAAAAAAAAAAACGTCGGTTTCTCCTGCCACGTTTTTTTTCGTTTTCCCCTTCCCCCGTCATTGCGATTTTTATTAAATTTTTACGTTTTTCTTTTTTGGAATAAGGAGAGAAAAAAAACAAGAAACACGCGGTAGATTTTTCTCTTTTTTTATTAAGAGTCCGGACAAAGCGGAAGTGAGTTAAATTATTATTATTATTATCATCATCGTCGTCGTCGTCGTCGCCATTAACTTTTATTATTATTATTATTTAAACGTCATTATGGGAAAATGTAATATCCGTAATTATTATTCAAATAAAAAAAAAAAAAGGTTGAAATATGGCGTAAGAACACCTGTCACCTTTTTAACAAAAAAAAAAAAAAAAAAGGAGGAAAAAAAAGGAAACGGAAACGGAAATTTTATGAAAAAATAATTATATTTTACCTTTTTTTTTTTCTCTCTCTCTCTATCTTCCTCCCTCTTTCTCCCTTTCTCTCTCTTTTTTTTTTTTGTTCTTTGTCTCATCATCGTTTCCAGTCGGTTTCGTTTCGGTTTTTTTTGTTTTTTTTATTTTAAATTTAAAAAAAAAGTCGTTTGTTTGTTATTATTATTATTATTAACATATCAATTGATTTTTTTTTTTGTTGTTGTTTGTTGTTTCAGGAGTGAAATGCAATCAACCGCCATTGTTTACCGATGATATGAACAATCACATATTGAAAGAAGATACGGAAGTCGGAACCGTTGTTTACACTTTGAAAGGTTACGATCCGGAAAATTCAACCGTCAAATATGGGATACTCGGTACGGATGTTTTGACCGTGAATCCAGAATCTGGAGAAGTTACACTTGTTAAACCTTTGGATCGAGAGGTTTGTGTCATTATCATTATTATTATTTTAAACATTCATAACGATTCCGTAGTGCTGCGGCTGCTGCTTTCGAAGAATGTGAGCCGTCCTACGTTGTGCGATCTCCTGTCCGGTTTCTTCTGAGAATCTTCTTCAAATTTTCTTTTTTTTGAGTGTGGCATGGTTCCCAGTGCTGCTTCCACGATGATTGGAATCGTTTCTGTTTTCGTTCCCCACATTTTGGCTATTTCAATTTCCAAATTTCTATACTTCAGCCTTTTGTCTGCTTTTTCGGCTGCTTGGTGTCTTTTTCCGCCGGTACGAGTACTTCAATTAGTTTACACCACCTTTCAGCACTACGTCACAGGATGATATCCCGTTTGTTGGCTGGCACGGTTCTGTCAGTGTGGATTTGTTGATTATACATGAACCTGCTGTCGTAACCGGGCTTGGAATGTGGTTGTACCATTCCTTGACTAGTCCATCCATTCCGTACTCGCGATACATATTACAGTGGAGATATTTACAGATTTTATCGTGCCTTTATGTTATTATTATTATTATTATTGTCACTTTGGTACGCGACAAATATCTCACATACCTTCTCATCGGAATAGTTATCCAGCTCGCATTCCAGGTTTACGAATGGATGGAGTCCCCCTGGAATAAATAAATATTTAAATATCGGTGGTTGTACTATTATTATTATTATTATTATTATTAGTTTTTTTTTTTTTTTTAAAAAGGAAAAGACGAAGGCGTCGTCTGGAATTTGTTTTTTTTTTCTTTCCTTAGTTGGATTTAAAAAAAAAATATTTTCGTCCATGAAATGAAAGGAAGAAAAAAAAAAAAAGATTTTGTCGTTGTTGTTGTTTCTTTTCTTTTTTTTTTTGGTTGTTGTTGTTTCTTTTCTTTTTTTTGGTTGTTGTTGTTGTTGTTGTTTTCGTAAAAAAATTTTAATTTAAATTTTAGAAATTCCAATTCATTCGGGAAATTTCTAGAAAAGAGTAGTAATTAAAAAAAAAAAAAAATTCTTATATTTTGTCTTACACGAATTATTTAATGATTTTTATATTATGCGACGCGTCGTGTATCTAACAAAGGGTATGAGCGAGCCGCAATTGCAAAAAAAAAAAATAAAATAACGTGGCGGAAGAAAATCGTGATAAATAATAAAAAAAATTTTTTTTTTTTTTAATTGTCGCCAAGAGTTTTTTTATTTCTCTAATAAAATTTTTCAATATTTTCAAAAAAAAAAAAAAAAAAAAAAAATGGAAAAATGACACTAAAGGGAACAATTAATAATAACGATGATGCGTTTTGTAATTTATAGTCAAATATATATATAGAGTCTCTATATTTTTTTTTTTTAAATAAATGAACTTCAACATTTTTTTTTTTAATGAGGGGAAAAAAAAGAGGAAACGGAAACTTTTATTATTATTATTATTATTTTTTTTTTTTTTTTAAAAAATCGAATCGAAAAAACGAACGAACAAACAAACAAACGATAAAGACAAAAAAAAAAAAAATTTAAATGTAATCAATTAACTACGATGATGATGATGATGATGATGATGGAAAAGGTAAAAGATTAAAATCAAAAGTTTTATTACAGTTAAATTATTATTATTATTATTAAAAAAAAAGTGGAGAAGGGTATTGGAGAGAGAAAGAGAGAGAGAGAGAGAGAGACTGAAAGAAAATTAACCGGGTCGTAAGATAGAAAGAGAGAAAGAGAGTTTGGAGGTAGGGAAAAATCAAGTTGAAAATGGTTGATTAAAAAAAAAAAAAAAAAATGGAGGGAAAAAAAGGAAAAAAAGGACAAAAAAAAATGGTTTATTAGAATCTCATTTACAAACGAATTTTTTTCATTTCGTTTTGTTTTGTTTTTTGTTTGTTTGTTTGTCTCGTATTTAAATTAAATAAAAAAGCTGTAGATGATGATGATGATCATGATTTTGCCAAGGGGTTAAAATGAAGATAAGGGTAACAAAACAGAAAATTTGGTTGGGTATTTGACTAGGGAACGAGAAGATAAAACAGAGAAAAAAAAGAAAAGGGAGGAGGGGGAGGAGGGAAATAAAATAAAAAATAAAAATGATGGCGAGAGAAAACAACGGCAGCAAAAAAAATGAAAAAAAAAGTTTTAAAAATCTGTAGTTTATTGTTTTTGACAAGAGTCGATTGTTTTTTTGTTGTCGTTGTTGTCGTTCGAGGGTAAAAATGGTGGTGAAAATAAATAGAAAAATAAGAGGAAATATCATCGAGTGGTGGAGAGGAGACGCGTAACGACGACGACGACGGGGAGTCAGTCGATCCATTAAATAAATAAATAAATGGGGGGAGGAGGAGAAAAAAATTTTTTTTTTGGAAAATTACGTTCAATTTCCCTCCCCCTTCGTGAATTCCTTCCCTTTTTCCTACACCCTTTCGCGAATGAAAGAAAAAAATAAAATTTTTTAAAAAATTGAATTAACTATTAAATGAATCGTGATTCGATTCGATTATGAAATGGTATTTAAACCAACTTACGATCCGTGGATTCGTTTTTTAAAAAATTTAATTTTTTTTATAAGTAAATTATAATTTATTAGAGAAATTAATGATGTGAAAAGGTCACCTTATGTTATTTGCGTAAATGAAATGAAAATGATTTTCTCGTTTCAGGTTAATGACACGCTCAAACTTTACGTAACGATAGAAGATGAAGTTGAATCGATGCAGGACAGTAATAAAGTTACCGGAAACGGAAATAACGTCGTCAGAGCGGATGTAACATTGATAATAACGGACGTCAACGACAATCCGCCGGTTTTTCTAGACGTAAGAACATAACAATTACATTTTTTTTTCCTTTTTTTTGTGAGCCCCCAAAAAAAATTGACGAAAAAAGAAAGATTTTTTGTCGTGGCAGAAGCCAAAATAATGAAAGAGAGTGTGAGAGAGAGAGAGTGAAAGTGGCAAGATAGAATATAAAAAAAAAAGAGAGGAAGGAAGAAGAAAAGTTTCAATTTCAAAAAAAAAAAAAAAATTTTCCACTGATTTTTTTTTTTTTTTCAATTGTCATGCATGTCGTCGTCGTCGACGTCACCCTCGTCGTCGGCGACGGTGATGACGACGACGATTCCGTCGACGCCATCATCGTAAAAAAAAAAAAAAAATTCAATCGAATGCATTAAATGAAATTCAAAAAAAAAATGGGAGTGTGACATTTTTTTTTTTTTTCTGTGTGCCTGTGGAGAAGGAAAAAAATTTTTTTTTTTCTTCTGCTTCTTCTTCTCGTTTCACTTTTTGAATAGCCAATTTGTTCTAGAAAATTCTTTTTTTTTTTTACTACTATCAGAGCTCGTTAACTTGGATCGGAAAAAAAAAAAAAAATTTTTTTTTTGTTCATTGTTCCCATTTGATTCTCCTATATTGATTTTTGGATTTGAATGAAATAATAATAATAATAATAATAATACTTCCGCTTTGGTTAAATGTTTTTCACTCGAGGAAGAAAAAAAAAAATAAACGAAGCAGACGATAACAACAATAACAACAAGAAAAGTGGGAGGGAAGAAGACAAAACAATTTTTCTTTTTGCATGATTCTTCCAAATGATATTTTCTCATTCATTTATCATTTAACCCCGTGTTTGACTTGTCACGTAATTTTCTTCTTTTTCTTCTTCTTCATCTATCATCTCCTTCATCTCCTTCATCTTCTTTTTCTCATCTCGTCCTCCGTTTAAAAGATTCTTCGATGTCTATCTTCTGGTTTTGCCCTTCGGCTGCCCTAAAGTATCCTCTTAACATTTTGATCTTTTTCCAAATTCTTCGATTTGTCGTCAATTTCCAATCATTCTCACGGTCCTTCTTATTGTGGAAGTCTGGAAAAGTAAGTGAAATTTTTCCAGGAAATGATTTTTCCTGGATACAAATTTCTATAAATTTTTTTTTTCTTTTTCGAACGCGTCGAAATCATTCATTCGTTTTTTTTTTTTTTTTTGTCGTCGTCATTCTTTTCAACGTTTTTCTTCAACTTTTCTGATATACCTCGAGAGCTATTAATTCAAAAGCACAAAGAAGTCAAAAAAAAAACTTTCTTTTTCTCTCTCTCTCTCTCTCTTTTCCCCTCCATCTATCTACCCGACTCTCTCTCTCTCTCTCTTTCGTACTTTTCGTTATTTTTCAAAGAGTTTTTCAAGTTTTCTTTTCTTTTTTTACTTTGTCGTCGTCGTTGTCGTGTTAGTATACGTATAAAGTTTTTTCTTTTTTTTAACTTTCCTTTTTTTTGTAATATTATTATTATTATTATCATTATTATTTTTGTGCGAATGAAAGTAATGTTCAGCTATTTAACTTTTAAAAAACTTTTTACTTTTCTTCTTTTTTTTTTCGAATTGAAATGTTTATTTTGGACTTTGCTTTAAAAAATAAGAAAGAAAGAAAAAGAAGAAAAATTCGGTTGAAATTGGGTTGAAATAGAGAGAGAAAGAGAGAGAGAGAGAAAAAAAAAAGAGAAAGAAAAAAGGAAAATTTGTCGTTTGCGTCCATAACATTCTTCGACGTCAAACATTCAATTCAACTTGAAAAACTTTTTTAATTTTTTTTTTTTTTTTGCAGCGAAATTTTTAAATTCGAGTAAAACTTTTTTTTTTTTTAATTGGTTGAACGATTAACCAATGAGAGCGAAGATTTACAAATCGTATTTTTGATTGGTCGGATCGTGGATGATGTAAATTAAAAACATCATCCGATCGGGTTAATGGAAAAATTTTAGTTATCTTATAAATAAATTACGTAATTATTAATTTTATTATCATTATTATTTTATAAGATTTGATTGATTGGTTGATTCATTCATTCATTCATTCATCGTCTGAATGATGATGAAAAAATTATTATAATAAATTTATTTATTTATTTATTTGAATATTTAATTAAAAACTTATTAAAAAACAAACGAACAAATAAATAAATGAATTAAGAAAAACGGGAGAATAGGGAGGGGGAGAGTTAAAAGGGGCGGGCGGGCGAGCGGGTGTAAGAAAGGAGGGGAGCGGCAAGGGAAAAACTTTTTCAAATTTCCCAAAAAAAAAAAAAATTTCTTTTTTAAATTGTCGAAAAAAGCGGAATTAAAATTAAGTTGATCGACTTAAAATAGCGTTAAAGTGAATTCAACTTTAAAATTAACTTTTCCCTCTCATTCATTTTCACACTTGAATTTTTTCTTCTCTCTCTCTCTCTCTCTCTCTCTTTTTCTCTATGTGTCTCTCTGTGTGTGTGTGTGTGTGTCTCTCTCTCTGTCTCCTTCTTTCCCCCTCTCGCTTTTACTAATTTCTTCATTACCACCGTTTACGTTACCGTCACGGCCGTTAAGTCACTCCAGTCAGATCATAATTAACGTTTGTTTGTTTTTTTCTTGGTTGTTGTTGTTTTAGGCACCCTACGACATAACGGTGTCGGAAAACGAAAAAGTCGGCACGACGATATTTCAAAATATAAAAGTATCAGATGCGGATTTGGTCGGAGATCCATTGGAAGTTTTTTGCGTCGTGCCAGATAAACTACCCAACAACTGCATGAAATTTTCCGTTATATCCGTAGAATCGACGGAACAACATTTCAGAGGCGTCGTCGTTCTCCAGGAACCTCTGGATTATGCTAAAAAACAATTTTATCATTTGACACTATTCGCGACGGTGAGTAAATTATATTTTCATCGACCCAAAAAAAAAAAATTTAAAGGCCGTCGGAAAAGGAAAACTTTTACTTTTTTCCCTTCACTTCCTCCCTTCCCGGACGGACGCACGAAGCTTCTTTTCGTGGTTGTTAGAACCACGTCTTTCATAAGATGTAATTAAATCGTAGTAGTAGTTTTAATAAGGAAAAAGGCAAACAAAACAACCCTTCCGTCCCTTTAGGCGACTAATTTTACTGAAATCAATATGGTGAATTTTTTCTTTTGTTTTTTTTTTTTTTTTTTTCTTTTAAAAAAGGGAAAATTTATGAATTTTTTTCCTTCCTTTTTCTTCTTTTTCTTTTGTTTTTTTTTTTTTTTTAAAATATTATTAACTTTTTTTTTTTTAATTAAAGTAAAAAGAAAAAAACAAACAAAAAAAACGTTCGATCTTTTATAATAATTTTTGTCTTCTTCCACTTCGTTTAATGAAAAAAAAAAAATTAATATTCTTTTTGTGTGTGATGATAGGATGGAAAGCATAATGCGACGGCGGTGACGGAAATAAAAGTTGTCGACGTTCAAAACACTCCGCCGGTTTTCGACAGTTCGTTTGTCGGCGTCGTACAAGAAAATGCAGAAATCGGAACATTGGTATTGACCGTTCACGCAAGAGATGGAGACATTGGAAATCCACGTGAAATCGTTTACGAATTGGTCACGAGTAAAAAAATTTTTTTTCATTTTTTTATTGAACGAACGTGTGAGAAAACGTGTGAGAAAACGTGTCATTTATTTTTTTTTTTTTACATCAAACAGATCCGCAAGATTATTTTCTTCTCGATGGTAAAACTGGAGAATTGAGAACAGCCAAACCTTTGGACAAAGAATCACTCGAAGATTCTACCGGAGTTTTAACATTGAAAATCAGAGTATGGGAAAAGAGACAAAAATTTTTTTTATGACGTCACGGATGATTTTATTTACTCGTGAATTTTTCTCTTTTTTTTTTTTTTTTTCAGGCACACGAAGTTGAAAATGGCATCGTTCTCAACGATTCGTTATCGGTCACGACGAAACAAGCAACGATAACGATAAAGGATATCAATGACGAACCCCCGCGTTTTAACGAACGTGAATATTTTGTCGAAATACCTGAAAATTTTCAATCAAACACTCCGCTTCCGAGATTAAACATGTCGGTCACTGATCCCGACGTGGTGAGTGATAACGAAAATGACTGGAAGATTACGAAAAAAAAAAAAAAATGGAACACCAAAGCATCTTTTTTTTCCAGGGTAATAATTCATTGTTTTCCCTGAGATTATACGACGTGTCTGGTGTTTTTGCCGTGGAACCAACTCAAGCTTCCGGTTCGACTTCCGTCAGTATCAGAATCGCCAACGGAACTCTCGACTACGAAAATCCGAATCAGAGAAAATTTCTCATTTTGGTAAATTTCACTATCGCTTTCCTCAACCATCCCCCCACGTCATCATCATCACCATTTTTTCTTTTTTTGTTTAAGGTCGTCGCAGAAGAAATAAGCGACGTACCGGAAAGATCATCGACGGCAACAGTCACGGTCGCAATCACCGACGTCAATGATAACGCTCCGTATTTCGAAAACGTCGATCCAAGAACGGGATCTTATTCCGCGACGGTATCGGAAACTGCATCTCCCGGAGAACTCGTCACGAGCATACTAGCCAAAGACAAGGACAGCGGAAGTTATGGAGTGAAAGGAATAGTGTATCAGCTCGAAGGAAACGGTTCGGAAAAGTAGGAATCCCAAATTTTTTTTCTCTCTCTCTCTCTCATTTCGTTCTCATCATCATCGGATTTATTAAAAGAAAAATTTTTTTTTTCTGTTTCCACGACAGATTTTCAGTGAATTCGAAAACGGGTGTCGTCGTCGTTGCAAAATGTGAAAATCCTGGAAAACCTCAATGTTTGGATTACGAAACGAAAAACATTTACGATTTGACTTATAAGGTATGAACTTTTATAAATGTTGAATATTTTTGTTTGTAAAATGATGATGATAACGTTATAAATTGATTATGGCAGGCGACGGACGATGAAGGAAAAGGACAATCGAATCAAGTTTCATTGAGAATATCTTTAAAAGATGATAATGATAATCCTCCGGTTTTCGAACGTTCTCAATATCAAACCGTCATTGACGAAGGTTCGAATAAATTTCAACCGCCTTTTAAAATAACGGCACACGACAAAGATGAAACGAGTCAAATTGAATATTATATAGTGACCGGAAACGTTAATAATTTATTCTCACTTGATCCCCATTCTGGAGAAATCACCGTGACGGATAAGAAAAACGGTTTGAACATGACCGGAGTTTCGAATAACGTCATCGAACTCGTCGTTCAGGTACTGCCTCTCTCTCTCTCTCTCTCTTACTGGTGCAAAACCATCAATTGTTCCGTCGGGAAATTTTCTTTTTTTTAATTTTTGCGTGTTTTTTTTTTTCCATCAGGCGACGGATGGAAAATATTCTAGCAACGCCACCGTTTCCATAACCGTCAACGACGTCAACAACAACGCTCCGGTGTTTCAAGAATCCCAATATCACGCGACGATACTTGAAAATTCAATGAGAAACACGGAAGTTCAATCCGTCATCGCACACGATTCGGATTCCGGAAGTAATGCCGAAGTCAAATATCAAATATTGAAAGGAGGATTCGGGGATTTTCACATAAACGAAGACACGGGAGTCGTTTACGTGTCGCAAAAACTCGATTACGATCGTCATTCGAATTATTCAATCGAAATAATCGCTTTCGATGCCGGTAGTATATACCTACTTCCTTTTTTTTTTTTTATTTGAATGGTAATAATAATAATAATAATTGTTAAATCCACGTTTAAAGGTGTTCCGCAGTTAACGGGAACGACTACGCTTTTGGTAGAAGTCATTAACAGCAACGACAAACAACCGTATTTTTCACCGGAATCACAAAGAACGGAAGTGAGCGAATCGGCTCCCATAGGTACCGTTGTTTATAAACTTCACGCCATCGATCCCGATGTCGCTCGGGAGGATGATCTTAGGTACGAAATAACCGAACCTATAATAGCCATAGACAGCAATGGAAAATCCGTCAGTCACACGAAGGAATACGAGGTTTTTTTTTATTTCTTTTTTTCTTTTCTTTTTTTTGAAAAAGTTATTTTCATTTGTGACGTCATTATTATATTGTCCGACAGGAATTTTTCAAAGTGGATCATCACACGGGTAAAGTTTTTGTCGCTAAATCCCTTAAAAGAGATGTTGCATCCATAATAAGGCTCACGGTCGTCGTGACGGATGTTTCCGCGACAACTCTTCAACAAGGAAAAGGTATTTACGTGAACCATCATGTTGTACTTCCTAAAATACTCCTACACATCGATCGCAACGAGTTTTCTTGTTTTGTAGGTACTTTAACCATCACTATAATCGATGTGAACGATCATTATCCGACTTTCGACGAGCCTTGGACGGTTGAAAATCCTCGATATCAAATCGATTTAATCGAAGGGCAAAACGAAGACACGGTAGTCGCAACGTTTACGGCCGAAGATGCTGATTCCACGATTGCATACTACGATATAAAACCGGAAAGTCCATTTTTCAAAATCGACAATACTTCGGGTGAGATAAAGATAGAGATAGAGAGGGGGGGGATGATATAGTTTGTTGTTTGTTATTAATTTAATATTTTAATTTAACAGGAGTCGTAAGATTGAAAAAAGAAGTCGATTACGAAAGAGAAAAAAAACTTAATTTTACGATCTGGGCTCATGATTCAGGGGTGCCACAATTTTCTTCGTCAGCAGAAGTCATCGTCAACGTCATCAACGTAAACGATAACGATCCCGTCTTTTCTCAGGTTTCTTTTTTTTTCTTTCTTTCTTTTTATTTTATTTTATTAAAAAAAAAAATTTGTAAGAATTTTCTCTCTCTCTTTTTTTTTTTTTAAAGACCGAATACAAAGCTTCCGTTCCTGAAAATTCATTCATCGGAACACTCATAACGAAAGTGACGGCAACGGATGCTGATGCGGAAAGTTACGGACAAGTGACGTATAGTTTGGTCGGAGAACACAGCAACGATTTCACATTGGGACTCGAAAATGGCGAACTCAGAGTAGCCAATCCTGCCATACTAGATAGAGAAGACGTGAAAAAAATCACGGTTGAAATTGTTGCAAGTGACGGTGCTCCACCGGATACAAGGAGAGCGGTATCAGTTCCGGTAAGTTTCCAAGCCACTATCACCGTTTTTTTTTGTTGCCCCCGAACGTTTTTTTCATTTTTCATTTTTTCTTTTCCTTTTTCAAGGTTCACATCACAATATTAGACGTGAACGATAACGCTCCGTCATTCGTTCATAAAAATTACAAAGCGACAATTGTTGAAAACATTGATTTGAATCCACCGGCGAAAATTGTACAAGTACACGCAATGGATCCCGATGATGGATCTTACGGAACCGTTTCTTATTCCATCGTCGGTGGCAACTTGGACGGTGAGTTTACCTTTTTCGACCCCATCGTTGAATGATATTCATTCGTTTCGTCACTACATTTCATTCCGATCATTCCTTTTTCAGACGTATTTCGAATAGATTCGGAAACGGGAATATTATACCCGAAAAAATCTCTTCACGGTCAACCGAGACATTTTCATTTGGTCGTAGAAGGAAGGGATGCCGGGGATTTGACAGATAGAGCAACCGTCGATATCGACATACTCAACGTGAATCAAAATAAGCCGACGTTTATAATGCCGGCATCGTTGAATGCAACCGTCGAAGTGCCCGAGGTATTGTGGACATACTTCTTTGTGACGTCATCGTTTTTTTTATTTATTTACAAAATTTCATTTATGCGTTTTTTTTTTTTTTTTCTATTGTGCCTTCTTGTAGAACGCTGGCCTCGCTGATTATTTGGTAATGAAAGTGAGAGCAAACGATGCCGACGAGGGTGAAAACGGTAGGATAACATACCATTTTAAAGTCAACGAAACGGACGTTCAAGAAACGGATGAATTTTTCATACATCCCGACACTGGAGATTTAAGAACTAAAATCATACTCGACAGAGAAGTCAAGTCAAAATACGAGGTGATTTTTTTTTAACGTTCGTTTTCTTTACAAAAATTAAAAATGCTGTAAAAAAAAATAATAATAAAATGAATTTGTTTGTTTGTTCTGTCAGCTTCTCTTGGTTGCCAAAGATCACGGATCGCCGACATGGTTCGAAACGCTCAGATTGTTAACCGTCCTTTTGGTCGACACGAACGACAACGATCCTGAATTCGAAAGCGAAAGATACGATTTTTCCGTATCGGAAAATTTACCCGTCGGTGTGACGATCGGTCAAGTCGTGGCAGTCGACAAAGACGAAGGAAAACACGCCAGGTATATATTATTAAACTTTCGATAAACTTTTTTTGTACTTCAAGTAAAACATTGGCCACTGTTTTTCAGAATTTACTACAGCATAATATCCGGAAACGAAGAAAATTGTTTCACGATCGATCGAACGACGGGTAAAATATTGGCAAACGTGAGTTTCGATCGAGAATTTCAAGATCAATATCATTTATTCATAAGAGCGACAAACGATCCGGATTATTTTCACACGAAAGAAGAACGGAAACACAGAGACATATTGGAAAGAGATCCGAGCATAACGAACGTTAGAATCACTATATTGGACGATAACGATAATCCTCCGAAATTTGAAAAAGCCGAATATTACGCAGGTAGGTGGTGATGGGGATGGTGGTGGTGGTGGTGGTGGTAGTTAAAAGGTTAATCAATCAATCATACGACATACTTTCAGGAATCAAATCCTTGGCCGCGATAAACGAATTCATAGCAAAAATATTAGCAGAAGATCCGGATTTGGCCGAAAACGGTACCGTTCAATATTACATAGCCGCATCCAATTTGTACAAATCGGGTTCGAACAAATTGAGCGGATCCGTTATACCCTCGCCGTTCAACATAAGTTCGGATGGTAAAATAGTTACCGCCACGTACATGGCCGAATACAATCAAGATAGATTCATATTGGAAATCATAGCTAAGGAAAAAGCGTATCCGATGAGAGAAGCGAGGGCTAAAGTACACGTACGTACGAACGGTTTTTTTAATCTTTTTTTTTTTTTTTTTTTTTTTTAATCCCGACTAATCCCCGGATTAAACTTTTTTTTTTTTTTGTCTCAGGTTTGGGTGTTTGAACCGAATCAATTAATTCGAGTCATACTTTCGAGACCTCCCGAAGAAGTTCACAGGGAACGTGATGAAATAATAGCAGAACTATCGAACGCGACTCAAAGTTTAGTCGTCGTGGATGATGTGAGGTATCACGTGGACATTGCAAAACACGTTCATCGCGATTGGACTGACATGTATTTACACGTTGTCGATAACAAAACTCAAAATATTGTGGATATAGTCGAAGTGAGTCGAGTGATCCCTTGCATCATTCATTCATCTTATTCCCCTTTTTTATGATGACGTCATATGTTTGATTTCAGGTTCTTAAAGTGATCGATGCTAAATATGATTTCTTAAAAGATTATTACACGGGATTTGCCATTGAAAACGTTGTGCCAGCTTTGGAAGAAGTCAGAGAAGATAAATTCGATTCAGCATTGGCTGCTCTTATAGCATTAGTTATTGTTTTGTTTGTTGGTTGCATAACGTTTGTTGTAGTTTGTTGTTGTTTAAGAAATTGGTAAGTTTTGTTAAGGATGAGATGCGAAAAAAAAAACATGGAAGAAGTTTTTCTTTGCTTTGCATTTTCTTTAATTTTGTGTTTTTGTCATCTGAAGGATTTTAACTCCCATTCCAAACGACGATTTGAAAAAGAAAGATGCATTGATAAAAAAAGCAATTTTAGAAGAGCTCAACACGACGGAAAATCCACTTTGGATAGAACAAAAATTAAAATTGTACGAAGAACAAGAGCTCACCATGCAAGTTTTCATTGATCCAGATAATAACGACACTCTTCGGAGAAACAGCGGGGTAGACATGCCCCAGGTAAAAACGATAAATGTATTTTCCTTTTACCTTTTTCCCTCGATTCGATTTTTACATTTGTTTTCGTTTGTCCAGGGTGACAATACGTATGCCACGATACAGCATCCAAATCATCATCATCATCACGTATCTAACAGAGTTTCGGATGATATCGGAGATTACGAAACGCTAACAAATAATCACAGACGTCCGAGCAGTAATTGCAGTTCGTCGAGAGGACCGTCACAATCACACCAGGTAAATTGTATTATTATTTTTTTAATTTTTTTCAAATTTATAAACCGTTTGTTTTGTTTTTGAAATCCGCCATATTGTTTTTTTTAGTCTTACGAAGCCTCGCTAGGATTTCAAGGTTCGACGTTTCAAGTTCCGCTCCCGCCAACGCCTCCTACCGTCGAACAACGGAATCATTCATCACCCGAACTCATAGCCGAGTTGTTGTAGGGAATCGTTTAGATAAATTAGTTACCATTTCCAAGTAACTTTGAAAAAAAAATTTTTTTTTTTTTTTTTTTTGTTTTAATTATTTTATTAATTTTTCTAGTGTTTAAAGTTTTATTATTTTTATCGAAAACAATATGAAAAGTGATGACAAGAGTAGTTTAAAAAAAAAAATATGGAAAGAGAAAACAATTAACAAACGATTCAAAAGAACAGATAAGTTTTTTCTTTTTTTTTTCTTTTATTTCTCATTCGAGAAAAAATTTTTTAAATTATTTTTATTTTTACTTAAAAAGACTTTTTAATTAAGAGAACAAACAATATTAATAATTAATTTTTACCCCGTCGAATCAGTATTAGAAATGATAAACAGTATTAAAAAGTTGATTATTTAAAACGATTTTATATGACAAAAAGTAAAAAATGTCGTTGGAAAAAAAAGAAAACGGTTAGTTGTCCGCCATTTTTGTTTTTTATCTTATTTTGTATGAGAAAGCCATTTGATTTTTTAACGAACTTTTATCGATCCCTTTGACCACAACAACAATTGGAAATGAAATTTAATAATGAAAATTTATCGAGTTGTTGTTTAATATTAATAATAATATTTTTAAAAAAATGAGATTCGGTTTAGGCCGGATGTCATTGATACGGGGACCAAAAGGCAATTTTGTCAACGTTTAATATCGAAAGTAAAAGACAAGTTACAACTCGATGAATTTTTTTTTGTTGTTGTTGGAATATAATCATTCATTCATTCATTCCTGGAACGTGTGAGATAAAACAATCAATCAATCACGATGAATTACTTAATATAATTGATAATAATAATAATAATTAGTGCATTAAAGTTAAATGTCCCCATTCTGTTGGTTGTTTCATTTTTTCCAATGTAAAAATGTTTTTTTTTTTTTAAATGTAAAATTTTGTTTGTTCATTTGTTTGTTTGTTTGTTTGTTTTAACGTTTAACAAACAGATAATTTATTTTTCCCTTAGGTTAGTTATTAAGTTTTTTTCTCTTTTTATTATTATTATTATTATTTTTTTTTGTTGTATTTTTAATATTAATTGGAAGGACAAAAAAAAGAAAATTTTAACGGCCAATAAATACAATTTACTTTATCCATATATATAAATACATGTAAGGAACATTTAATTTTTAAACGTGCCAAAATGATAATGATAATAATAATAATAATAATATATATATATTCAAGTTTTTATATATATAAGTTACATAAAGTTTTTTTTTTTTTTTTCTAATATTCATTTCCGTTTTTTTTTTTTTTTTTTTTTTATTTTTTAAAAATGTATATAGAAAACGACGTGAAAATTAAAATGAAGACGTCGATCGAGCCAGACGTTAAACCTCCATCATCATCATTATCATCATCATTTTCAGGTAAGTCGAATAAACGTACAGGTTTAATTCTTACAATCGTTTCCTCTCTTAAATAAAGAGTTTACATTAGCGAGAGTGTGTGAGAGAGAGAGAGAGAGAGAGAGAGAGATGGAGTTAGGAAAAAAAGGAAATTTGACAACAGCGATAATTATCAATTTCCGGTGTTTATTATTATTATTATTATTATTATTATTATTATTATTCGTCGACGCTCAATCGAATTCTTTTACTCATGAGTTTTTCCGTTTTGTCAATTATTTTATTCCTTCCTCTCTTTTTGGAAAATTTTTTTTTATTATCGAATTTTTCAAGTCTGTCGCGTTTCATTTTTTCCCAATATTCTTCTTCTTCGCGTCCTTTTAAAACCGTGAAATTATTCCAAGGTTTCGATTCTAAAACCTTACGAACGGCATTTTCGTCTGCGAACCTAACGTAAGCTTCGTCGCTCCCTATTCCGACATCGACGTATTCGACTTTTTCTAAAGATTTGGCATCGACCTTGAAAAATAAAAATAAAAATAAAAATTATTTATGATGACGTTAAATAGAAAATTAAGACGGGGGAGGGAGGGGTAGAGAGGGGGGAGGAAAAGGGGAGGGTTTTCCTCTTACTTTGAATTGATTGAGATGATTTCCATCTTTAATGGGTTTATCTAAATTAATTTTTACAATTAAACCTTTTGAAAATTGAAATCTAGGTTTCGTTTGACATTCTGATCCCTGATTATTTACTAATTGTTGCTGTTGTTGTTGTTGCTGCTGCTGTTGCTGTTGCTGATACTGTTGTTGTCTTTGTAATTGATTCATTTGATTTTTGTACAAGTGTTGTTTGAGTTTTTTCATTTTTTCCTTTTGAATATTTAAATATTTATTTCTCAGTCTTTTCCAATCGGTTCTGTAAATTTTTTTATTATTAATTCTCAATTGTATTTCAAAAGAAAATTTTTAGATTAATTTTAGGGAATGAATGGATATGGGGGGGGGAGGGGGAAACTCACTTTGATAAAATTTGCAAACCATACATTTTAATATCTTTATAATATTTTGTTTTGAGTGATTTTTTTTTCTTTCTGTTTTTCTTTTTTTTCGTAACCACACCCCCAATTCCCTGAGAATTTGATTTTTTATCATTATCATTTTCCGATATCTTATTTATTCCTTCCTTGTTTTTATTCATTTTTTTATCATTTTCTTGTTCGCTTTCAGTTTCATCGAATTTAATTTTTTTCGCTTCTGGTTCAAATTCATCTCCTTCTTCTTCTTCTTCTTCCTCGCCATCATCTTCCTCTGGCTTTTCTTGTTTTCTTTTTAAATTTGTTTTATTATCTACATCTTCTTGTACTTTTACAACATGAGGTTTGAGACTTTTATCTTTAAAAAAAAAAAAAAAAAAGGATAAGGCTTTGAGTAAATTTATCGAATTTGTTTCGAATCGATTGATTTTTTTAATTTCACAATACCATTATTATTTTTTTGACTTATCAAATTTTTATTATCATATTTATCATCTTCGAAAGTTGCTATGCTACATAATTTTTCTGGATTCATGTGATTTGTCAAACAACATCCTTCTCTTTCGAATTCGTCTAAAGCTGCTTTGGCTGATTCTGGTGTTTCAAATTCGACAAATGCAAAACCTTTTATCTTACCAGTGCCTTTGTATTTAGGAATTGAAATATAATCAACCTAATGGAAATAGAATTTAATAATTTTAAAACTGAGAAATATTGATTTTAATAAATTTATTAAAGTTACCTTTCCATAACGAGAAAATATCAATTTTAACCAATCGTGGTCAGCATCATAGGATAATTGTTCGACATAAATTGTGCAAGCATCAACATTGAGTTTTTCTTTAACAGGTGTATTTCTGAAAACTTTTGATTTATCTTCGGTTAAACTTAAAAATTGTGATTTTTTCAATGCTTTTTTTAAATCGTGCAAACTCGTAGTCAGCTGATGAATTTTATTAAATTTTAAAAATATTTCTAAATCTACTTCTGTAAATGAGAAAAAAAAACAATAAAATATTGAGGGTTGTTTAGAAAACGAGCGATTAAGTAAATTAAACGTGAAATTATGAAATGTTGGGATTTGAATTACAAAAACTCACCTGGATCGTCTTTAATCAATTGTGATAAAAAGCGGTCTTTTTGAAGATTCGAATCGCTAAAATAAAATTCCATTCTTTCTCTGATTAATTCGTAAAGTTGTTTTTTACGCCTTCGAATGTTTTTGGGAATTTCTTCCTGATCGTTTTCATAATAAATTTTATTTTGCATCATCATGACAAGTGGTGTGTAATGTTGTATGATGACTGTGTGTGGTGTCGAACAAATATTTTTTCAAATCAAAAACAAATATACGCCATTTTGAAATTGTACGTTCAGGGATTCAATTATCAATGGTACACTTGGGGTAATCTAGATGGCAGTGCAATGGTTACAAATACTAATAAAATAATTTTTTTTTTAATTATCGAATTGACAAATTATGACAAATTTCAATTACGAATTGAATATTTCACATTTAAAAATTTAAACGAAGGAGACGGTAAAGGAAACGGAAACAATTTTTTTTTTTCGTTTAAAAATTTAAATTTTACCGCCGTTGATGAAAAACGAAGCGATAAAGCGCTTCTAGCGGAATAAAATAAAACTAATTATAAAAAATCCGTTACCGTTTTCGATTCGTGCAGTTGTCGTGTGGATTTTAAAATTGTATGATCGTTTGTATTGCGTGCGTTCAATCGTGACACGTTTTTTTTTTTTTATTTTATTAATTAAATGTAAAAATAATGATCGAATTCATTTAAATAATAATAATTATAATAATTATTTAATTTTATTTTTAAATACGTGTGCGCGTGTGTTTGTGTGTTTTACTTTTTTAAAAACTATAATTACGAATTCGATCGTTTTCCCTCTTTTTTAAATTTCAAAAAAAAAAAAAAGTTTAACGTTTAAATTATTAATTTTTCTTTTATTTTAAATAATTTGTTTAAAAAAAAAAAAAAATGGACCAAAATGAATAAATAAATGAGAAAAAATGGATTATTATTATTATTATCAGTCATTACATTGGATTGTTTATGGCGGTTGACATTTCCGTTCACCTGCTTTAAATAATTAACGCATGTGTAAGTAAATAAAAAAATTTTTTTTTTTTTTAATATTTTCAAACGTATAATAAAATTAATCGGATTTGCATGTTCTAGAACCTTTTTCTAAAATCGAACGGAACAAAAAAACGTTAACTTGTGTAACGTTACGTCACGAACGCACTCCCGACGTTTGGGGGGGGGGGTTTCACGCGATATTTAAAAAAAAAAAGGAACATGAATCATTTAGACTTTTTCTTTTAATAATTAATTTATTATTAACAAATTATTGTCGATTAATAATTATGATTTGTTTAAAAAAAAAAACGAACGTTTTAGAGAGAGAAATGCGTTCGCGAGAGAGAGAGAGAGAAAGGCGAACGTTAAATAAGGACGTTCGATAAGGTTTGCACATATGTATAAACCATGGCCGCCGACGTTTTAAAAAAAAAAATTTTAATTTTTTTTTTTTTTTTTTTTTTTGAAGGGAGAGAAGAAGGGGGTAATTACCGGGTCGTTAGGGTCAAAGGTCATGCTTTCATGTTTTTCTCTTTTTAATAATAATATTTGAATGTTAAAATGGAGTCGTAACCGTTTTTACCGGTTTTTTTTTTTAAAAAAAAAAAAAAAAAAAACGATAAATTATTAATTTTTATTAAATTTTATTAGTTCGTGAAAAGTATCACACACGCGCACGCACGCACTCACGCACGTATAAATAAATTTTGCACGTCACCGTTAAGGTTTTCTCTCTCTTTCTCTCTCTGTCTGTCTGTCTGTTTGTCTCTATCTCTCTTTCTCTCTCTTTATATATTTATATATAAAATTATTCGGATTTTTTTTTTTTTTTATTCGTCTACTACTTACGACTTAGGGTTTTTGTTTTAAAAATAGAAAATGTTTAATAATAATAATAATAATAATGATGATGATGATGATCATAATAATAATAACGAAGGAATGCTTGTAAATTCTCAGAATCGATCGATCCTTACAAAAAAAGGATACAAAATTCAAATAATCAAAATGGCCGTTTTTTTTTTTTTTTTTTTGTCTTCGTCTCCTTCTTCCCCTCCCCCCGCTTTTCCCCTCCCTCGTCCCCAACTCTTTTAATTTTAAATTCATAATTCAAGTAATGCTCAAAGATCAAATAGAAAAAGGAAGCCGAAGATCAAGGGAATCGCGTTGGAAAAATAATAATAATAATAATAATAATAATAATTTTTTTGCGTTTGAATAATAATAATAATAATAATAATAATAATAATAATAATAATAATAATAATAATGTGAGGAGTTGTAAAAAAAAAAAAAAAAAAAAAAAAAGGTTTGTTTTTTGCTACCATCGACAGTTACATCCGGACTATTCTGTCGGTTTCTAGGAATAAGACAAAGAGACGAAGGACAAAAAACGCATATTTGTGTGCGTGCGTGCGTAAGTGCGCGTGTGGTATATGATCGAATCGTCTCGGAAAATTAATAATAATAATGATGATGACGATGATGATGATGATATTAATTTTTTTTTCTTTTGGAGAACAATCGAAATTAATGGGATTAGGTTAATGGTACGAGCGAGCGTTGGCGAGAGAATCGATTTTCTTTCTTTCTCTCTCTCTCTCTCTCTCACACACACACACACACAGAGAAACTTCTCCAGTCGTCGGACAGATTTGAATTTATTATAAAAAAAAAAAAAAATTTAAAATTAACTCGAATTGAATTTCAAATAAGTTATTATTATTATTATTTACATAAAATTTTATTTAACTTAAAAAATATTAGGCGGAAATGAAATTTTTGTGGTCGATTTTTTTTTTAAATTGTTCGTCATCAAATCAAATTTAGTTATAAATAAATAATTTTTAAGAGGGTAACAACCTCCTCCCCTTCCCTCCCCGCTCCTCCTTTCCCCACTTTCTTCCTCGAATGTAAAATTAACGATGATGATGATAGAAGGGTGTTAAAATTCATACCTGATTTTATTATTATTATTATAATTTCAGGTAATTTTAAATTTATTCGATCGAGATATTTCTATTATTATTATTATTATTATTATTTGAATATAATTTCGTTTTTCGTCCCATGGCGATGGCATAAATTTCTATGTATTTAATAACAAACAAACAAACGAACGAACAAACAGACAGAGAGACAGACAGACAAACTTTTTTTTTTTTTTTATTATTATTTAATGTTACTTTGAGTTAATTACATGTGTAACCTTGAGGTAATATATGAAGTAAGCTCAATGATCAAAGTGGGAGAGATAGAAAGAGAGAGAGAGAGAGAGAGAGAGAAATAGAAAAAAAAAAGAGAGAGAGAGAGACTCCTGCATAAAGGTCGTTTTTTTTTTTTTTTTTTTTTTTAAAAAGCTGTATTTACATGTCTTTATGGCAATTGTCATTTTTGTTGTTGTTGTTGTTGTTATCAGGGTCGCCACCTTTATGTTGTCATAACATTAACCCGAGCAAACGCATTTAAAAAAAAAAAAATCGTCTCATTAAAATAAGAAAACGTTTTTTTTTATTCTTACGCACATTTTAATTTTAAATGGATCGATTTTTTTTTGAATAATTCGATTCGAAATCGAATCGAATCGAAAATCTCGTTCGAGACGATTGTTTGTCGTAATTTTCGAATCGATTTGTCCCGTGGAAGAGGCAGAAAAAAAACACGACGACGGTGGTTGTTGTTGTTGTTGTTGTTGTTATTCGTTGTTTTTAAGTTAATTTTGTTTTGGTATCATCGCGATATCATCCCCCGTTGTCGTAAACATTTGAGAAAAGAAAAAACGGAGGGGGGGCGCGGGGAAATCTGTCGCAAAAATGTAATAAATTAATTTAGCGTAAATGTTCAAATTTCTATCTCTCTTCCTCTGTGTTCCCTTTCTTTCTCTTTTTCAGTCTCATTCTCTCTCTCTCTCTCTTTGTCTTTCTCCGTATCTTTCTATCTTTTTTGTTCCCTTTTCAGCATCTCTCTCTCTTTGTCTTTTTCAGTATGTTTCCATCTTTTTTTATTATTATTCGAAAATGGAGTTTTTCCTATTTTAGCTTAGCTTAGCTTACGACGCGATTTTTACATACGGGTTCCAAAACTTCCCACAGGATTTTCACGGGGAAATTCACAACAAACAACAATTTTAATATTATTTCAAACAATAATAATAATAATAATAATAATAATAATAACGAAACGGTAGTTAAAATCGATGGTCGTTTTTTGTTTTTCCAAAAAATTTTACTGGAACAAATTAAAAAAAAAAAAAAATAGGAGGAGGGTGGGAGGGGGGAAGGTATTACGTAACGTTTTAAGAAGTTTTTTTTTAACACATAACACCTTTGGGAAATAAACTACGTTAAAAATAAATAATAATAATGATGATGATGATAATAATAGTAGCAAAATAAGGGAAAAAGTTTTTTTTTTTAAGAAAATGAAAATTTATACTCGAAATCCGAACGGGTTTTTTTTTTTTTTTTTTTTTAATAAATAAATAAATCTTAAGTTATGGAGTAAACATTTTATCGAATTTGCTGGAAAAAAGTTTTTTTTTTTATATACAGACAAAATGGATTCTTTATTAGGTATTAAAAAAAAAAAAAAGAAAAAAAAAGTTTTCTATTACGGACTTTTTGTTTTTCTTTTTTTTCCCCTTAATTTATTTTGCTGACTTGCCTGTATTAAAAGAAATTCTGGATCGTATTAAATTTCTCCCGACGTTTGAACATCGTCTTGGAATCGGAATTTTTTTTATTTAATAATATCATCACCATCATCATTATTATTATTATTATTATTATCGGTGTCGTGGGTTTGTTTTCGTCGTATATATTAAAAAATAAAAAAAAATAATTTTCTTGTTTTCCCTCTCTCTCTCTCTCTCTCTCTCTCTTTCTCTTTTTCTTTTTTTTCTCTATGGTTTTGTTTCTGTTTCTCTCTGTCTCTCTCTTTCTCTTTTTTTTTTCTATGGGTTGTGTCTCTCTCTCTCTCTCTCTCATACTCATTCTCCTTTTCCCTTTCCCTTTCCATCCGTTCCCTTCCCTCCTTTTAATTATTTAAAAACTTTGTCCCGAAAATATTTTTCCCAAAAAGTTTACGATTACGTCATAATCAATTTAATTTAATTTTTTTTTCTTTTTTTTCCATATAATATATAAAATTAGGAAAATTGTCGGAAAATTT